CGACAAGCTGCGCATGGAGTCCTACCGCGACAAGGACCTCGGGGTCGACGTCTCGGATCTGCACATCGAGCTGCGGACCGACGCCGACGCCCGGACGCTGACGATCGCCGACAACGGCGTCGGGATGAGCCGCGACGAGGTCGTCGAGCTGATCGGCACCATCGCGAAGTCGGGCACCGCCGAGACCCTGGCCCGGCTGCGCGAGGCGCAGGCGTCCGGAGGTGAGCGCTCCGAGGAGGCCACCGCCGAGCTCATCGGCCAGTTCGGGGTCGGCTTCTACTCGAGCTTCATGGTCGCCGACACGGTGACGATGCTGACCCGGCGTGCCGGCACCGAGGGCGGCGTGCGCTGGGAGTCGTCGGGCGAGGGCACCTACACCATCTCCGAGGTGCCCGACGCCCCGCAGGGCACGACGATCCAGCTGGCGCTCAAGGCCGAGGACGCCGACGACGCGATGCACGACTACGCCGACCCGGCTGTCGTCACGCGCATCGTCAAGCGCTACTCCGACTTCATCACGTGGCCGATCCGGCTGAACCCGACCGACGCCGTCGCCGGCGAGGCGGGCGAGGACGGTGAGGAGGGCACCGAGGGCACCGAGGCCACCGGCCAGCAGCCGATCAACTCGCGGCAGGCGCTGTGGGCGCGGCCCCAGAGCGAGGTCACCGCCGAGGAGTACGCCGAGTTCTACCGCCACGTCTCCCACGACTGGCAGGAACCGCTCGAGACGATGCGTCTGTCGGGTGAGGGGACCTTCGAGTACCAGGGTCTGCTCTTCCTGCCCGCGCACGCCCCGATGGACCTGTTCATGCGCGAGGCGAAGCGCGGCGTGCAGCTCTACGTCAAGCGCGTGTTCGTCATGGAGGAGTGCGAGTCGCTCGTCCCCGAGTACCTGCGCTTCGTCAAGGGCGTCGTCGACGCCCAGGACCTCTCGCTCAACGTCTCCCGCGAGCTCCTCCAGCAGGACCGCCAGATCCAGCTGATCCGCAAGCGCCTGGTCCGCAAGG